CTACTCAAGTCTCTATTAATTATATCTCTAGAATATTGTATACGTGATTTCTGATAGTCATTGCACATTTGTACAATCAAATGGAAATATTTTTCCAATTACAAAATTTCTGACTACAAAATCGTTGAATTATTTCTGTCAGTTGAGGTGAAGGTGACATAAAATTCAACATCTGTATTCAACGTCTGTATTCAGCATTGAAACACAAGTTATTAAGGAAGAGTTGCGTCTTTGAGCGGGTAAAATGTGGAAAACAAAGCATGTCAAGTGGAATTAAAACTTGTGACACTTTGTAATTTACAATTAAAAAATGCCTATTGAAGTTATTTCTTTTATCAGAATTATATTATATACATATATGAAAATAGAAAAAGAAGAAACTTACGGTATAGACCTACAATTTTTGTAACAGCCGTTGACATATGTTTCGAGCTATTGGCTCTTTTCAGAACGGCGCAGTTCAAGTTTCAGATGTTCGAACTTGGAAGTTTATTAAAAACACACAAAACACAATATTCTCAGTGAAGAATCGACTTCTTTGTGGCTTAAATTGAATGTCTATGGTAGTGTTCTGTTCGACTCTGTTCTGAAGACTGAATCAATTATCTGCCAATGAGGCGATATTTATACCTTCAGGAAATTTTGTACCGACAATTTAGATAATTCGAAAAGGTGAACCTTCAGATCACGCCCCGGCAGGCAAAATGCACATACTCGCACTAATGTTGTCATGAGTAGGAGTCTAGAACGCTAGGGAGAGTTTATGGTGTTTTCTTCGATAGAGGGAGCTCACTTGAATTTTCACAAGTTGTTGTTTACCTCATTCGGATCTAGGACCAATGGGCGTTTTAAAGTCATCGATTCCTATGGACTCATACGACGGACGGAGTCATACGGACTGATGATTTATAATAATGATGAAACAATTGTATCGTATTATTGTGCAACAAGATCAATAATTGTTTCGAAGAGCACTTAATATTCCTTCTCAAAGTGATAGGTTCGTTTTCGTTGACAAAATACGGAGATTTGAAGAACCAAAATATCTTGATTGAAGGAAATCATTTCACAGCTTGAAACTTTCACGTTTCAAGATATTCTATGCCCATAGAGGAAAGTGCCATAGATCGAAGCTTAACCCAAAACTTTGTAGAACTCTGGGTCAACTTTGTGAGCCACGCTGGGCCCAGCGTTGGTGAAAGTCTGGAGTCATAACAACTGACCAGGCTTGGTTACCAGAACTGGGTCAGACTTAATTGTCAGTATTGGGCCATGCTTGATTGCTAGGACTGGCCCAGTCTCAATTGTCAAGACATTGGCAATGCTCAATAGCCAGGGCTGGACCAGGATTAGGCGATCCTTGATTGGTAATACTGGATCTGTCTTAACTGGTTCTATAGGCCCAAAATTAAATACTCACTATTGGCTAATAATTAACTACGGAATCGAAAATGGAACACACTCTTTAATTCTATTTTTTTACACGTGTACTTATGCATATCTAAGATCAAATTATTCAAAAACAATTCATTAATATGCTTCAACTTGAAATTATGTCTCTGTCTCGCTGAGCACATCCACCTTCCCTGTAGTTTGCTCCATATGAAAAGCTACTTACTGCTCTTATCACCCCTATTTTTGCGTTGATGTTGATATTCTGCCAATAAATTCTGAAACAATAGTGATAATAGTTGATAAATGAAGTATTTACCTACTTTCCATAATTTGGTAGTTTCAGTTCAATTGAACTTTTCTTTCTTTGCCTTCTGCTTTTCGGCCACATCTGCTGCATTCCAGTTTGATATTTTTCACCATTTTTCGATAATGTTATAAACTTATCATCTTCATTTTTTGTACACTTAGCCTTAACCATTCGAAATTTTCCGATCCATAAATAATAGATAATTTATTGATTTTTGTATAATTTATAAAAACTTTCTATATAATATTTGAATAATGTGTAAATGAAAGTGCATTCGGTTTTTGCTGGTTTTCTTTGGAGAATTGTGCTGTGCACAATCAAAAATGTGCACAACAGAAATCTCGTATATATAAACATAACAAATCTGCAGTACATCTGTAGATAGGCTGTAATTTTGTAGATTTATACGTATCTCTTCGTTCCAATATGTCTCTATTCAATTTCTGAACTGAAATTAGGGTTGCAACGAATAGTATATTCGGCAATATACCGAATACCGGATATTAGGCAAAAACATTCGGCCGGATTTTAGCGCCAAAACTTGTACAGGCGTGTTTGTTTCGCGTTCGTTCGTTTCGAATGTATACACCGCCCGCGCGACCGCAGTTACTCTGCGCGATATATTGCTAATGCACTGCATGTTTAGACCAGTTTTCTTCGTAGATATCGTCGCGCTCAAAGCCCGCGAAAATAGATATGCAATAGCTTAACAATTGAATAATTACAAACGTACTTTAATAATATTAAATGGATTGAAGACTAAAAAGAAATCGCCTATATGGACATACTTCGAGGAGGATGATGTAAATGACCCATAAAGTGCCGTGTGTACACTGTGCGAAATAAAAATTTCTTGCGGTGGAGTTTGAACAAAGGCGACTACATTAGGAATGCTTATTCATTTGAAAAATAAACACAGTGAAGAATGTCATAAGTTAGTACTCATACTGTCAAGGGACAAGAAACTACAAATCAAGATACGAATGTAAGCAATAAACCTTCTCAAAAAGGCAATTGACTAATTCCGTATGTTGCAACGTTAATGCGATGTTACTATAAAATGAGCACATTAACACCCAAATTAAGCCAGGCAAGACATTATGATTAGAAGACATTACAAGGATTAAAAATTATTTGATGGTTACCTTTCTCCATCCACAATTTAAAATGAATGTTTTCACCAATCAACAGCAAAAAGAAAAATCGAAGCAGTATGTATTATCGATAGCATAAATTCGAGCTGTGAAGAAACAAGCGACGATAGCGTGAGTTCGTCCCCTTCTTTGACCAAGAGGATGAGAACTGAAGAGTAAAGTCTAAATCAGACTATTCACTCAAGTTTCATGGATGGCTCCGAAGAGGTGAGCAGAAAAAACCACAGCTCATAAAATCCATTAGCAGAAAAAAAATGCAGTTTCAACAGAAATGGATATTTTCTTAAGTATTAGTAATATATCACGTCATGACAATCCGTATACGTAGTGGCAAGCAAGGAAATTTAAATTCCGTTCTTTGATCAATATTGCAGCAAAATATTTGTCTGCGCCAGAAAGTGGTGTTTATTCGGAGTGCCTCTTTTCTGAAGCTTGGATGGTCTACGAGAAAAAAGGAGTAAACTACTGTTTTATGTACCGATAACTACTTAAATGATTATAAAAAAAATGAAAATCTTACCCTTCTAAATTTTGATTACGACAATAATTCAAACACATAGAATCCTCAAGTTTTCTAATACAGAAGATGATTTTGTACCTGTGTTCATGTACCAATGACTACTCAAATGATTATACGAGAAATGAAAATATGAATATATTTTAATAAAATTTTGTTTGAACCAATATTTTTGCTCGAGGGCTGAATGGAGATCAGACTCCAAACTGAATTCGGTCCTTTTGAGATCATTTTTCTTAGTTTTAATTATTGTATCAATATAAATTAATGTAATTTTACAATGTAAGGAATGTTTCTCAATAAATTGATCTTATTATTATTATTATTATTATTATAATAAAAGAAGCCGAACAGGCCGTATACCGAATAGTAACCCAATATTCGTTGCAAGCCTAGAAATTATTCCATAGACCGTCCTTGTGTCCTATTTTTATTCAATAATATCTGCACGATCATAACTGAGCCCTCAATGCCATCGTTGCATAATCACTGAAAACGTTACATACCGCAATGTTTGGAAATATATTAATCCCAAGAGATGCCGAACCCTTGTACACACCCCAATTATGTTTGTAGCTTGAGTACATACACTCATCTAATGCTTATTTTGGCAGTAACCGAAGCAGAAACGAGAAACTGGATATTTTTTCATTCCCACTTATTGATGCACACAGAATGTTCTAGTCTTGTTGTAACTAGGAATAAGAAAATAACAAGAGACCATTTGAATTTATCGAAAATTGCACACCATGGTGCCGTTTGAAAATGTTTCGATATGTCGAGTAGAATGGAATTGCTATCCTCTAGTACAATTATTTTAATTCGTTTATCGATAACTTGTTTGGTATGTAGTTTATACTATTTGAAATAGCGGATGTTGTTTTGTGGAAAATATTTTACGGCAAGGTACAGTTGAATGAGATCTCACGTTATTGCGCTAATACTCAATTTCTATAATTTTCGATACAGGATTTCTCTTTTCGACCAGAAATAACACAATGATATCTTGTCCTGAAGTTGTTTTGCCTCTCATGTAACAAACTTGTGTCGACAAAATGTGTCGACTTCCTTCAGTGGAGAGTCTGTTTCGTTCTTGTTTTTCATCTCCAGGCTTCGTTCGACTTGAACTTGGCGACGCCGTTCTGAGGAGAGCCAATAAGCTCGAAACACGTGTCAACGGTTGCTACTCATTGCGGGATATGCCGACAGTGTCTACTTTTGATTGAAAATTTCCCCCGCGTTGAACATTATTCATATATTATATAATTTCTCGGCTGAGGCATCCTTGAAGGATAAATAGTCGCCTTACGGGCGAAGTAGTTTTTTCAAATCTCCCGCAATCTGGAGAGTAAAAACGCAGTAGCCTAAAATGTGTCTACTTCCTTCAGTGGAGAGTCTGTTTCTTTCTTGTTTTTTCATCTCCAGGTTCGTTCAACTTGAACTTGGCTACGCCGTTCTGAGGAGAGCCAATAAGCTCGAAACACGTGTCAACGGATGCTACTAATTGCGGGATATGCCGTCAGTGTCTTCTTTTGATTCATATATATATATATATATATATATATATAATAATCGTATTAATATTTTACAGTGAAAATTGAGAATTGAAATTACACTTCAAAAGTTTTGAACTCGACTGGGATTCGAACCCAGGGAGAGTTCTTTCTTGATTTACGCCCCACTGCTTTTGACCGCTAAGCTACCGAGGTCTACACTTTTGAGATGCAACTTCAATTCATATCTAACAACTCTTTTATTCGTCAAGCTAGTTATTCGACGCTCGGATTGTATATATATATATATATTTGAACATATCGTCTTTGATACCTATATAAAGTGAGTGACACCTACCCATCCTCCCAGATATATATTATATATATATTATATATATATATATATATATATATATATATATATATATATATATATATATATATATATATATATATATATATATATATATATATATATACATATAAGGAGGCCTTATATGTTCTGCAGAGGACGAACAGAGGTTGATGATAATTATGATGATAATGATACATATAAAAAAATTCACTACAAGAGAAAGAATAATGCAGTTCTCGTGCTATATTATCGCACTTGTAGATATTCGCTTTCAAAGTAAACTATTACTTTCTTTCGATAATTTTTTTTGACAAATTATTGAAAAGAGCATTATAGCAGAGCTGTGAAACATGAACAATGCAATGTCCTTCTAGGGATCAGTGTTAGAGAATATTAGATTCTCCATTATCCTTTTAGGGATAAATGTGAGAGAATATTGAAATCTATGCCTACATTTATTGAAAGCGTAAGACAGTCACTGCTTCGTACTCATCAGTTAAGCCACGTCCAACAAATGAAGGACGGAAATATAGAGTAAGACGTATGCATATATAATGCATAAACTTAATGTACATCTCAAATCTTAGAAATCAATGAAAAGCACATAAATACATCTGACATTGAAAGTTTCACACGTCCTTATCAATTAAGCTACTACATTTTGCAACTCTAATTTTTTGGACACTTTCATCTAATTTGATGAATTAATGCGCCATCTAGGTTGCGTTTGTAGAAACGCTCGTTGTCATTTCTCAAAACTTGAATGAAATTTAATCCAAGAAAAAGAATTATGTTGTTCTCGTGCTATATATCTCTCACTTGTAGATATTCGCTATCAAATGTAGTACTTTAATTGATGAGGACGTGTGAAACTTCCAATGTCAGATGTATTCATGTGCTTTTCATTGATTTCTAAGATTTAAGATGTACATTAATATATGCATTATATATGCATACGACTTACTCTATATTTCTGTCTTACAATCAATGAGAGGGTATGTGAGGATTGAAATCGTTGCCCTCCATTTGTTGAGCGTGGCGTAACTGATGAATACCTTGTAGTACGAAACAGCGACTGTCTTACGCTTTCAATAAATGTAGGCATCGATTTCAATATTCTCTAACATTCATCCCTAGAAGGATAATGGGGACATCGCATTGTTCATGTTTTACATAGCCAGCTCTGCAGTAATGTTCTTTGGAAAAAAATTCTTTGTCAAAAAATTATCGAAGGAAAGTTATACTATACTTTGATATATATATATATATATATATATATATATATATATATATATATATATATATATATATATATATATATACATATATTTTCATTCAAGAATAATTGATGGATACAATAATATTTAGAAATGATTTCGATATAATGGATATTAGATAACATTTCCCGAATAAAAACAAAAATATACCATTAATGGTTAGCTCACAAAGACCAGGGCCTGTGGTGAACTTACCTTAAAAAATATTGCATTTAGATCTAAATACAACTCAATACATACAATTCAATTTAGGTAAAAAATTTCAAAATATTTCAAAAAATCTCATCCCGTTAACCAATCGCTATTTCCATCGGTTTATGGATATAATGTCTACTTCTTGTTTTAATCCAATTTCTTGTTTTAATTTGGAACTTTTTCAAATTAGAAGTCCACAGGTATTTCATTATACGTTCTTGGACCAATATACAAGTACAATATACAAGAAAATGAACTCTAGGACATTCATTCAAAAAATTCATGTTAACCAAAAGTATGTTATGTAGATCTAGATATGTGAACGTGTATGATGTGATCCTCCTTTATCCTTCAAGGATAATGAATGCATTACTAACGAGACATATCTAGCTCTACTACATCATTCTTTTGGTTAATTTGAATTTTTCGAAAGAATGTTGTTCTTAGTGTTCATTCTATGAACATTATATATAATGTTCATCTATATATAAATTCCTCATGGTTGGCATAAATTAATTACACTTAATTTCGAAATGAATTAATTTGAAAAAGTAACATCAATGCGGTCAGGTTTTAGTAGAATGGAGGCATAAAGCAGGTTCAGTGAGAATATAGAAGCAGGCCACCACAATATAGAAGGATACGTAAGCGGATTTCGTTCGCATTAGAGTTTCTGGCATAAAAGCTCCTTTGTTCGAATAGCCACTCTTTCATACGACATTGTCGAAATCTGCAATCGACTTATTCATCGAGAGATTAGATTGATTAATCCTTTGCGGAAGCTCTACGTACGATTTACGTGACGAAGATTGTGTAAATGGGGATTGCAAAACTTCATTATTATCCTCTACTTTTGACACCTATAATTATATAACCTAATTCAAGTTGACTTCTTCCGTAGCACATAGTAGAATATTTTTATTTTTCAATGGAAATATTCCGTAAAATCAATGATTGCGCTTGATATAATTTGGGTTATCAACTCAATATCAAGAGTTTGATACTTTTTAAAAATGTGATTATCTCAATATTCACAATATCGACTCATTCAAGAATTCATTGCCTTATATTGGAGTTTTGAATCCTATAGTAAATCTCGTCCTTGATTTCGTAGCAAGTACAGAATAGAAGCATGAATGAACGAAATTGATTATTGGGGTGTATATGTTTTGTATCTAGCCAATATATTCAATTGAGGGGAAAGTTATTAGGTTTTGGCACCTTCAACCCTATGATTTCACTACCTTTTTTTTCAATTAGTGCGCGGACTGTGTATGTCTTGGACTTCATGAACGTCTATGAAATTCATTGCCAGATTGTCTGTGCCATCTAGAATAATGACCGATTGCAATTCTGTTGTCATTAGATAGTAAAAAAACATATATAGGTATAAAAATAAAGGTATTTCCCGATACCCTAAGTAATAATTGAAATACTGAAATAGATTTAAAGCTATGCAGATTTGAAAAAATATCTTCTGACCATAATTAACGGTTAGTGACAGATGGTCATTAAATGTAGAACGTTAAGAGCAACTGGAATGAATATATATTTCAAATAGCATATTATGAAATAATTTAATAAAGATCAAAAATATTCAGCTCGTTATCATGTAGATATGATGAACTCCTAATAATTCATGTAGCATTTACGAACTGTTATTCAATATCTACTTCTTCGCGATAAAAATGTAAGTTATAAAAATTGAATCTAGTTGATTTACACATAAACTCAGAGGTAAACAGTTCATAAAATCGAGCTAAAACTTTATTGGTACAAATTTGGAGTTCATATATTACATGTTTTCCACAGATTCATATCACTGATGAGGAATGTATTCATAAGTATATGATTGAAGAAGAACTATATACTTTAAATATGAATAAAATTCTTCTGTACGTCTCCGGATAATTCTATAAGATCGAAAAAATTAAGTATATTGATTAGTTACCTATCTATTACCAGTCTTTGAAGTTAAACGAAAAAACAGTTTAAAATGTTATTAAAATATTTCGGAGGATATGAAAATGATTTTTCCTTAATTTTTGGTATATATATATATATATATATATATATATATATATATATATATATATATATATATATATATATTCTAATCTTGTGAAGTGTTTGAAAACTCATTTATTCATCACAATTCTGGATATTACGACACTTTTTTGTTTCTTCTTCTGATTGGAGTTTATGCATTGAAGAAACCTAACTAACATTTTTTTGACAAACAAACGTCTCTTATTTTTGTTGTCTCATTCACTACTGAATGATTCCATTCAGTTTAGCAACATGTATTGAATTAGTTGCAACAAAATAAGAGACGTTTGTTACAAAAAAAAATATTAGTTAGGTTATCTTCACTGCATAAACTCTAATTGTTGTTTTTCTCTTGAAGACAAAAAGAAGTGTCGAAATATCGAGAATTGTAATCAATACATGAGTTTTCGAACACTTCACAAGACTCGAAAAATTATGGAAAAGACACTTACAGGTACCACTTCTAAAGTAAAATTCATTGTTAAAGTATCAGATCCCTTTGAAATCAAAACCGGTGTACGGTAGGAGGACGGACTTTCAGCAATCCTTTCAACATTATTTAAGAAAGATCATTAGGGAATGGAACCTCATGAAAAGCATACAAGTGAGTATCAAAAAGAAAATCGGATAAATGTCAAATGTCTCGCTTTTGCAGACGATATTGCTAATATTACAGAGAATATTACAAATTACAAGATTACAAATTTATTATGACAAAACCGAGTACATGGAAAGAAAAACAACGCATAAATCTACTCTTATCACAAAATAGGGTGAAATTCTGCAGGTCGGTTATTTTAAATACCTCGTAGAGGTTATACAGTCCTCAGGTTTACAGATCCAAAAGGCCTATAAGCTAACATGGGTGTACTATGATACAAAGTGCATTTCGAGAGGATCCAATCTGAAGCATTATAACACAACGATTCTTGGAGAAGCAAATAACGAAGCTGAAACGATGGTTTTTAACAGCGATTGAAGAATTAGAGAAGTAGAAGAACAAGAACGGAAAATTCTCAGGAAAATTTGCGGGATAATCAATAGAAACGGTATGTCAATGGGAAACCTCAGAAGGAACTTTCTCAAGAGACAAACACAATAACGGCAGAAATCAGAAAACGACGAGCAAAGTTATATGCAAATGTCTACAGGATGAAACAGTCTAGAATGCCAAAGGAACTACTATATATGAATATGAAGAGTAAATGCGGATCAGAGTGGTTGAAATAAGTCCAAAAAGATATACAGCAAATCGATTTGAAAAATCTCGAAGATCACAGTAGGTGTCGCTATGAAAACGCACATGTGAAGTTTGAGCAAATATCAAATCGCTAACCTGGA